GGCCACCGTAAGCCGCTATAAAACAAAGGGTTCCGAGAGAACTGCCATAACTTCGTAAATTATTTATTTTTTTTCAAGAACAAACGAACAACAAATAAATAATAACTTCAGTGTCATAAAATATTTGCTACACACCTGAAAAAAATCCTAAGTTCCCTCAATTTTTTCGCTCAAAAAGGTATATAACCCCTTAATGGAAAGAACATGTTGATAAATCGTAATTCAGTTTTACTCGTTGGTGTATATTTCTTTTACTAGAATTTGATAAGTAAAGAAACCATGGTCACTCACCAATTTAAAGTTTAAAGAGAAATTGAGAAAGAAAAACACGCACTTTTAAAAAATTAAATTAAAGGGTGGCTTTATATTTGTAAAATAAAACATAAATCACTTAAATTGGTTAGGAGAAACTAACTAATCGTATCCATACAAAATTTCTTTGCCTGATACCTAATTCTAGGTCAAAAACATAAAAGATAGAGGACCCAAAAAATAAAAGAAGGAAAAATGAGATCATACGGTATCACAATGGACCCACAGAGGTCTAAGTGTGTCAGACTATAGTCTGGCAGCCGTTCTAACCTAACTTAACCTAACGGCGAAGCATCCGTGGGACGAAATGGAAGATTTAAACTACTAATTTACATAAATGAAAACATTCGTTGAACATTCCATGTGTTTTTATTTTAATTTCTTTGTGTACCAGAAGACTCCTCCTTTTTAAATTTAAATTTCAAACCCAAATGCTTGACAGTAAGACCATGCTACATGCATTGCGGGTGAACTTTGAAAACTTCGGTAACACTACAAAGAATACGATTTTTCGACTAGTGAAACTCTTAGCCGATCTGAGTACTAGGCTTTAATCCCAGTACTCAGATGGGCTAAGAGTTTTACTAGTCGAAAAATCGTGATCTTTGTAGTGTGACCGCAGCTTTCAAGGATTTCAAAATGTCAAGCAGCTGGGCTTGTTGCCAAACGGAAAACAAATCAATTGGAGCAATTTAATAAAAAAGAGTCTGCTGGTGCACAAAGAAATTAAAATAAAAATAAATTAATTGTTAAACGAAATTTTTTATTTATGTAAAATATAAGTTAAGGCTTCCTTCTCGTCCCACGGATGCTTCGCCATCTTTCCCGCGCCATCTGTAGTCCAGCTCCGAGTCCCAATAGACTGTCTAATAATTGCTGGTAATGGCTCCTCCAGCTGTCCCTTAGCGGGTGACTTTATTTTCTCCTTCCTAAAGAAGCCGGCGCGTAGCTGGTGGAGGTGCAGTCCTCAATGGAGAGCTCGTCAGAGATCGAGCGATGTCCCATTTTCCTTCCCACTGGGATTCTCTAGGGGATCTTATCCAGCACTTCAACAATTCTGCGGATTTTCCCCGTTGTGGTATTGCTTCCTGTCGGTCAAGTCCCACAATAAGGGGCAAAAGCTTGGATTAAGCGTCCTTTTTCATCCGCACTGACCTCCTTTAGCCGTTTTTTGAGTTTTTCTTCCATTTTTATACCCGTTACTCGTAGAGTAAAAGGGTATACTAGATTCGTCGGAAAGTATGTAACAGGCAGAAGGAATCGTTTCCGACCCCATAAAGTATATATATTCTTGATCAGGATCACTAGCCGAGTCGATCTAGCCATGTCCGTCTGTTCGTCTGTCCGGATGAATGCTGAGATCTCGGAAACTATAAGAGCTAGGCTATTGAGATTTGGTGTGCAGATTCCTGAGCTTCTTACGCAGCGCAAGTTTGTTTCTGCAGACGCCACGCCCACTCTAACGCCCACATTCCGCCCAAAACAGTGGCTCCTACAGTTTTAATGCTAGAATAAAAAAAAAAAAACTGAAATGTATTGTTCTCATCAATACCTATCGATTGACTTTAAAAAAGTTGGCCACGCCCACTTTAACGCCCACAAACCGCCTAAGTCTGTGACGCCCACAATGTATTGGTTTCGTCAATACCTATCGATTAATCCAAAAATAAATTTGCCACGCCCATAACGCTTAAATCTGTCTACCGCTGGAAGGTGGTGCATTTTAATCTCCCTTTGCTGCTTGCTTATCTCTATTTAGCTGAGTAACGGGTATCTGATAGTCGAGGTACTCGACTATAGCGTTCTTCCTTGTTAATTTTTGAATTCCCCACCGCTTCTGCACGAACACCGTCAAAGATTAAATTTCTTATTCCTTGGGCCGCGGCTAACGGGGTTCATCGAAAATTCACTCGCGAAATCTGGTATTTTTCTGGTATTTCCTTAGCTCATCTGAGTACAGCGCTGAAAAACAGACCCGAAGAAAAGCGCTAGCCGCATTATTGCCTCTCGCTCACTTCTATGATTAGCTCGCGATTTTCGTCGATGTGAGTACTAGGCTTTAGCTTAATTTAGTCCTTTACATAGAGATTACATTTTTACACATTTTTGTCACATCATTTAGAATGATTATTATTTTGACAAGGGATAAAAGCCCTTATGTTTTTTATACAAAACACTCAAAATCATAGAAAAGGGAACCTTATTTTTATAGCAAAACACGTAACTTTGAAATTCGATTATAACAGAACCAATGCAGACCGCGCCTTTATTTCTTCATGTAAGTTCTTAAGAATTCGTGGACCGTGGTCTTGAGTATTAGCATTATTTTTCCTGATAGTAAAAATAGCATTCAGCGAAACCGTTTTTTTTTTTGATAAACAAACAATAATATTTTTTTGTGTGTGTTGTGTGTTTACCTACCCATGGTAAACTCAATGCCAAGTTGAACAATTTTTAACTAACTTTTTTTTGCTAAGAAGTCTCAAAATATAATGCGCAATACGTAAGTAATAACTATTATTAAGTTAGCCAGGCGCTTAGAAGATCGGGGGCTTGGAAGGCAACCTTTTCTTAGAATATATTTTGAATGTTTAGATTTATTTAGACCAAGCTTAAATGTTAACATAAATGATCAATACTTATGAAGTTTGGTTTGGTTTAAAGATATTTGTTAGCCAGGCGCTTAGAAGATTGGGGGCTTGGAAGGCAACCTTTTCTAAGAATATATTTTGAATGTTTAGATATATGTTAGGCTCGACGAAGTTAAGCTTGGAAGGCAACCTTTTCCTAGAATATATTTTTAGTTCTTAGATATATGTTAGGCTCAACGAAGTTAAAATCCTCCTTTAATGTAAGATTTGTCAAAAAATCAAAATGGTTTCACACGAATAGACTTAAGGGGTTATATACCTTTTTTTTTTTCAAAAAAACGAAAAATTTCTTTTTTGCTGAATCCTAAAGTATATCCCCCAGAGAACATTTTCCCAAATGTTCATAGAGATCCGAATAATAATTCGACGATGACTTGTAAGTTTGTCTGCTCGTCTTCAATAGTTGCATATACTCAACGTAAAACTTTGAGTGCGATTATCTCAAAGTCGTATTTTTCCAAAAGTGCCTTTGCTGTGGCCGCGATTGCACAAGAACTATTTGATCGATCTTCTTCATTTTTTTTTTAAATTATTCGTAATGATTGTGCCGAGTTCGTGAACGATTCAGTTCTTATGCGCCAATTTTGATTTTGCAGATCAGAATTTTTTAATAAAATTTTTAGAACTCGAAAAATCAACTTTTTGGAAAAATCGATACTGTATGCAGAAAAAAACAAATATTCTTGAAAATAATCGTTCACGAACTGGAAATAATACTATACTAATAAAATTTTTTTGGTTTTTTGATTTCAGTTGACTTGCTGGACTTCCATCGTGGCCACCGTAAGCCGCTATAAAACAAAGGGTTCCGAGAGAACTGCCATAACTTCGTAAATTATTTATTTTTTTTCAAGAACAAACGAACAACAAATAAATAATAACTTCAGTGTCATAAAATATTTGCTACACACCTGAAAAAAATCCAAAGTTCCCTCAATTTTTTCGCTCAAAAAGGTATATAACCCCTTAATGGAAAGAACATGTTGATAAATCGTAATTCAGTTTTACTCGTTGGTGTATATTTCTTTTACTAGAATTTGATAAGTAAAGAAACCATGGTCACTCACCAATTTAAAGTTTAAAGAGAAATTGAGAAAGAAAAACACGCACTTTTAAAAAATTAAATTAAAGGGTGGCTTTATATTTGTAAAATAAAACATAAATCACTTAAATTGGTTAGGAGAAACTAACTAATCGTATCCATACAAAATTTCTTTGCCTGATACCTAATTCTAGGTCAAAAACATAAAAGATAGAGGACCCAAAAAATAAAAGAAGGAAAAATGAGATCATACGGTATCACAATGGACCCACAGAGGTCTAAGTGTGTCAGACTATAGTCTGGCAGCCGTTCTAACCTAACTTAACCTAACCTAACTTGTAGAGCAAAAGTGTATATTAGAATCATCGTAATATATGTAACTGATAGAAGAAAGTTTTTCCGACCCTATGATGTATACAATAATCAAACTTGTCAAAGTGACCTTTTAACAACAAAAATAAATGGTTTTGAATTCAGTAGACTACTATGATATTTTTTGACAGTATTTTTGATTCGAGTTTGGGGGTCAAAAGCCATTTTCGACCAATGTTTGTTCGGCAATGTTGTTTTGAATCCTTTTAAGATTACGTTCCCTCTATACGATTTTTAAGCTCCCAAATCGACACGCCCTAATACACATTCTTGATCTGGTATCTGATAGCTGGGGCCATCCACTACAGCGTTATTTCTGGCTTTGACTTTGTTTTTGTCATATAGGGTCCAACTCAACCAAGAACTACCAATAACTACCCTTCTTGGGGTACTTTGGTGTTATCAATACAATTAAATAAAACGTTATAAGTAATGCCCAGTATCAGAAACAGTCTCTTTGCTGCTTGCATATTTCCATATCCCTCGCACTACCGTTATATGAGTTCCAAATATCTAAGAGTCGAGGCACGCGACTAAAGCGTTAACTCTTGTTTGTTATAAAATGTTAATATTGTTCAAAAGTATTGTGTTGCATACCAAGCTATAACATAATATATACGTACCAGCTACTTCAATTTCACAAAATGTTCCAGAACCAATTGTATTATTCGCCACACATCTATAAGTTCTGGAAATGGCATAGTCCGCTTGCAGAACGTAAAAACTCTTTTCCAAAAATGATTTTTTGTCACCGCTATCCAAAACTTCAACCGTTTCATTGTCAGCTTTTATTGACCAAGAGAAATCACTCTGCAAGATATGTAAAAATTTTTTATTATTTGACAATTCATTTATAATTTATAACGTAGGTACGCCCAGAAAAAAGTCCGTTAAAACGGGGTCAAAAAGTGCGTAAGACCGTTTGTTGACAATTCATGAACGGTCGTTTATAAAATATGACCGAAACTTTAACGTTGGGTTCTGAACGAATGGGGTCACTCTGGGAACATCACTCTAAGTACATGGGGTCAATCGATAGGTATTGACGAGACTAATACATTTAAGTTAAAATTTTTTTGCTAGCATGAAAATTGTGGGCGCAACAGGTTTGGGCGGTTTGTTAGCGTTAAAGTGGGCGTGGCATATTCGCGTGACAAATTTGTTCTGCATACACGGCTACGGAATCTAAATCTGAAATCCCAATTCTATATCCTTGATATCACCGAGATATCAGCGTTCATATTTACGATTTTTCAAGTTTGTGGGCGTTTAAGTGGACATGGCACACTGACGTAACAAACTTGCGTTGCGCAAGAAGCTCAGGAATCTGTATGCCAAATCCTAACTTTCTAGCTTTTGTAGCTTCCGAGATCTCAGCGTCCATGCGGACGGACAGACAGATTGACAGACGGAATAGACTAATCAAGAATATATATACTTTATGGTGTCAGATCGCTCCTATGGCAGCTATATGGTATAGTGTTTGTGTGATTGGTGTTTTTTATCATATAACCTCCTAAGCTTGGAAACAACATTTTTGAATTAGCTGCCATAGGAACGATCGGAAAATTGGTGGGAAAATTATATGAAACAAATTATAGCTTCGGTGTTTTTTGACATGTTATCTTAAACTATTGCGAATATAATTTCTTGTATTTTTAAGGATTTGGAGTTAAATTTAATAATTATAACTGCAAGGGCTTACAAATTTCGGCATGCCGTAGTTAACTTCCTTTCTTGTTTCATGTGGCTTGGGAAAAAATGTAGCATCAAAAAAGTTGTTAGTGCTAAATGAACTTGTGTTTGGCACAATTTTGGCGAACAGAAACTTAGCAGAAAATAACATTACAGATGTAAAAAATAAATTGGCTAATTTTGTAATCAGGCGCACTGAGAAATGGAAGGCTTACCAATATAACAAAATATCAGAAATGGCTAGACATGAGAATCATTCTCGAAAAAATAATAGATGTGATACAATGGAAAATGTCATGCACGCCCTGCTGGTATCTTCTGATACACTCATTACATCTAAAACGTCAACAAAGTCGGCGAAGTCTATTCATTTTGATAACGTCATTGCTGAACTCCTTATCAATTTTTCAAAAAATAAATAATGATTCTGATTGTTCTGATTCAGATTAAATGTCACATTATATACATATGTGAGAAAACTAGCACATTTGTTAAATTTAAAAAAATATATCTGAAACTTACCAATTTAAAACAAGAAAGGACGCTATAGTCGAGTACCTTGCGAAATTAAAATGCGCCACCTACCGGCGGTAGACCGTTTTAAGCGTTATGGGCGTTAGAGTGGGTGTGGCAATTTTTATACCCGTTACTCGTAGAGTAAAAGGGTATACTAGATTCGTCGGAAAGTATGTAACGGGCAGAAGGAAGCGTTTCCGACCCCACAAAGTATATATATTCTTGATCAGGATCACTAGCCGAGTCGATCTAGCCATGTCCGTCTGTCCGTCTGTCTGTCCGTCCGGATGAACGCTGAGATCTCGGAAACTATGGGAGCTAGGCTTTTGAGATTTGGAGTGCAGATTCCTGAGCTTCTTACGCAGCGCAAGTTTGTTTCAGCAATGTGCCACGCCCACTCCAACGCCCACAAACCGCCGAAAACTGTGGCTCCTACAGTTTTGATGCTAGAATAAAAATTTTAACTGAAATGTATTGTTCTCATCAATACCTATCGATTGACTCAAAAAAAAGTTTGCCACGCCCACTTTAACGCCCACAAACCGCAAAAACCTGTGACGCCCACAATTTTCATGCTAGATAAAAAATTTTAACTGAAACGTATTGGTCTCGTCAATACCTATCGATTGATCCAAAAAAAAATTTGCCACGCCCACTCTAACGCCCATAACGCTTTAATCTGTATACCGCCGGTAGGTGGCGCATTTAAATCTCGCTTTGCTGCTTGCATATCTCCATTTAGCTGAGTAACGGGTATCTGATAGTCGAGGTACTCGACTATAGCGTTCTTCCTTGTTTTTTTTACAATCGATAGGTATTGACGGAACCAATAAATTTCATTTACAATTTTTTATCTAGCCTGAAAATTGTGGGCGTCACAGGCTTGTCCGGTTTGTGGGCGTGGCATATTTGCGTAACAAACTTGTGCTGCACTCAGGGCTACGAAATCTAAATCTGAGATCCCAAATCTCTATCTTTAATAGTTTCCGAGATATCCACGTTCATATTTACGATTTTTTGAAGATTGTGGGCGTTAAAGTGGGCGTGGCAAACTTTTTTTATGTCATTCGATAGGTATTGATGAGAACAATACATTTCAGTTAACATTTTTATTCTAGCATCAAAACTGTAGGAGCCACAGTTTTGGGCGGTTTGTGGCCGTAAGAGTGGGCGTGGCACTCTGCTGAAACAAACGTGCGCTGCGAAAGAAGCTCACGAATCTACACGCCAAATTGCAATAGCCTAGCTCTTATAGTTTCCGAGATCTCAGCGTTCATCCGGACAGACAGACGGACAGACGGCCATGGCTAGATCGACTCGGCTGGTGATCCTGATCAAGAATATATATACTTTGTGGGGTCGGAAACTCTTCCTTCTGCCTGTTACATACTTTCCGACGAATCTAGTATACCCTTTTACTCTACGAGTATCGGGTATAATTAGTTTATCAGTTGTCAGAAGTATTTGAACACGTTTTCGGTGCGTCAAAATTATTTTCACAATGTAATTTCGTCATTAGTATTTGGTTTGAAGCGACAAGTTGCGGTTCATTTGCTCTAATAAATTCAATTCAGTGAAAATTCAATTAAAATAATCATTTATCTTTTACATTTATCCAAACAAAATGCCTAAAACAAGGGAGTTAACCATTGATCTCCGGTCTAAAATTGTTACTAAGCTTAAAGCCGGTATTTCAGCAGCTGAAATCGCTAAATTGTATAAAATTTCGCGCAGAAATGTCTACTACTTAATAAAAAAGATCGATACAGCAGGCACTTTAAAAAATAAGAAAAGATCAGGCCGAAAACCTGTGGACCAAAGAGAATGCAGGCACTTACTAGGAGTTGTAGCGAGCAATCCCAGTGCAAGTCCAGTAAAAATTGCCCAACATCAAAAAATATAAATGGTAAGCGAAAAAGTGATTCTACAATTCGTCGCTGGCTAAAAGAAGCTGATTTCAATACATATGTTGTCCGCAACAACACCAACCAACCGAACAAAACGGCTTCAATTTGCATAGGAATATATTAAGAAGCCTCTTGACTTTTGGTTTAATGTTTTATGGACGGATGAGGCTGCATTTCAGTACCAGGGGTCCTACAGCCATAATTTTATGCATTTGAAGAAATACCAAAAGCATTTGGCCCAGCCAATCAACAGGTTTGGTGGCACAGTCATGTTCTGGGGATGCCTTTCCTATTATGGATTCGGAGACCTCGTACCGATAGAAGGAACTTTAAACCAGAACGGATACGTTCGAATCCTTAATGACCATGCTTTTATGTCAGGAAATAGACTTTTTCGTACTTATGAATGATTCTTCAGCAGGACAATGCTCCATGCCACAAGGGTAGGATACCGACCAAATTTTTGAGCGACCTTAATCAGGCGGTTCTTCCTCGGCCCCAACAAAGCCCAGACCTAAATATCATTGAAAACATTTGAGCTTTTATAAAAAATCAAATAACGATTAATAAAAATAGAAAACGCGACGGAGTCATCGCTGAAATTGACGAAATTTGGTCCAAATTCACCCTTGAATATGCCCAAACTTTGGTAAGGTCAATACCTAAAAGACTACAAGCTGTCATTGTATTTTTATAAAATTAAGAAAATCTTTTGTTAAAATGAGATATTAAGCTGAAATAAATCAAACTAAGTTTTATGAAATTACTTCTGAAGCGAATAAAACGTGCGCAAATACTTTTGACAACTGATAGGCTTTTTTCTTTTGCCTTTAGCTTTGTCCTATGAACCGCTATATTTCGCATTTCGTTTTGTGTTGCTTCAGCATAGATCAAGTTACGCGATAACATTTATTTCAGGTAAATTGTTCAACAACAACAAGAATAACAACTAAAAGAAGTTGGAATGTGCATATAATTGTATGTTGTGAAAATAATTTTGACTAGGGTTGTATATTTTTGATCAGGATCACTAGCCGAGTTGATTTAGCCATGCCCGTCTGTCCGTAGGAACGCTGAGATCTCGTACACTATATCATCTAGAATTTTGAGATTTTGCATGCAAATTCTTGGCTTCCTGCGCAGGGCAAGTTTGTTTCGGCAGGGTGCCACGCCCGCTCTAACGCCCACAATCGACCATAACACATCCGTCCAGCGCCCACATTTTGTAATATTTTGGAATAATTAAAATGCGAACTTGTTTATGTATACATGCCAAAAATTTTGCAAGTTCAGTCGAGATTACACACCACATGAAGCAAATCAGATGTTTTCTCTAATACGCCACGAAACAGCTAAGGACGTTATTGGGCTAGTTGGTGCTATAGGCTTGGTGGCGCTAATTAACGCTAGGTGGCGCTAGCCACAAGTAAACATATCTGCATCCCTCTCGCACCCCTTTTAGCTGACTAACGGGTATCTAATAGTCGCGACCATCGATTATAGCGCTTTTCTTGTTTTTAAGCGTCGTAGTAAACTGGCTCTATCATACTTTCAACAGTAGTTTGTAAGATGGAATAAATAAACTGCTCAAAATCTTTCTTAAAAGAAACGACTTATCTTGCCGTTATCCGTGTTGATTGCAAAAAGCCATTGCGAATTTTATTAGCAATTAATATGGGCTGGGGTCAAATGATCCAGTGAAATGCTGGGCAGCAGTGAACACAGCAGTTAAAGAGGGAATATCATACATCTCAAGACCATTGATGAGGGATGAAATCAGGATTAAACTCTTAGGAAGCCGTCAAACAATATTCAATAAAATTTTTTTCATATTGCAATTAAAATGTCTGAAATATATTTTGTATCAAATTATAATATTTCTTCATTTGTTTTATTATTGTAAACTTGTTTTATCATACATATATATGTACAGCTGCGGCAACAAAAATAGCACCAACGTGTAGGCAATTCTTCTTTGTGCCACAAAATGGTCATTTTTTTCAATATTTTTATTATGTTTGTAAAAGTAATTAGGGTTATTAACTAAAATAAAAGTGGTTACGCCCACAATGCTGACGGTTTTTAAAATTTCGATACATTTATCAAAAAAGTAGCAAAGTTGTGCGGCAACAAAAATAGCACCAACTAAAGAAAAGGCTTAAAAAAATTAAAAAAAAATCGATTTTGAAATTTTTTTTTTGTTTAAATGTATGATTTTGTACATCTTAAGGTAAAACAAGGAAGAACGCTATAGTCGAGTACCTCGGCTATCAGATACCCGTTACTCAGCTATATGGAGATATGCAAGCAGCAAAGCGAGATTAAAATGCGCCACCTACCGGCGGTATACAGATTTAAGCGTTAGGGGCGTTAGAGTGGGCGTGGCAAATTTTTTTTTGGATCAATCGATAGGTATCGACGAGACCAATACATTTCAGTTAAAATTTTTTATCTAGCATGAAAATTGTGGGCGTCACAGGTCTTCGCGGTTTGTGGGCGTGGCAAATTTTTTTTTGGATCAATCGATAGGTATCGACGAGACCAATACATTTCAGTTAAAACTTTTTATCTAGCATGAAAATTGTGGGCGTCACAGGTTTTCGCGGTTTGTGGGCGTTAAAGTGGGCGTGGCAAATTTTTTTTTAGATCAATCGATAGGTATTGATGAGAACAATACATTTCAGTTAAAATTTTTTATCTAGCAGGAAAATTGTGGGCGTCACAGGTCTTCGCGGTTTGTGGGCGTTAAAGTGGGCGTGGAAAATTTTTTTTGGATCAATCGATAGGTATCGACGAGACCAATACATTTCAGTTAAAATTTTTTATCTAGCATGAAAATTGTGGGCGTCACAGGTTTTCGCGGTTTGTGGGCGTTAAAGTGGGCGTGGCAAACTTTTTTTTGGGTCAATCGATAGGTATTGATGAGAACAATACATTTCAGTTAAAATTTTTTATTCTAGCATCAAAACTGTAGGAGCCACAGTTTTGGGCGGTTTGTGGGCGTTAGAGTGGGCGTGGCACTGTGCTGAAACAAACTTGCGCTGCGTAAGAAGCTCAGGAATCTGCACGCCGAATCTCAATAGCCTAGCTCCCACAGTTTCCGAGATCTCAGCGTTCATCCGGACGGACAGACAGACGGACAGACGGACAGACGGACATGGCTAGATCGACTCGGCTAGTGATCCTGATCAAGAATATATATACTTTGTGGGGTCGGAAACGCTTCCTTCTGCCTGTTACATACTTTCCGACGAATCTAGTACACCCTTTTACTCTACGAGTAACGGGTATAATAACTTCACGAATAGAATATAAAGATATAAAGAAAGAGATTCTGGGAAGTTATACCAGGTTTTAAGCCATGCTTGATTAAATGAAAGTGCACTGATCATAGAGATTGTAACGAAAGGCTGGGAGAAGCTAAACTTCACGGATTCGACCACCAGTTAGACACAGCTCCCTCCCCCGTAATGCCAAAGACAAAGTGACAGACGCCAATGGCCGGCACCTAATGGACTTGATCGAGCTGTTTGGCTTCACGGTGGTCAATGGAACGTCGTAAAGCGATCTTTTGGGGGATTACACTTTTATGAGAGGTGAAGCTCGGTCCACCATCGACCTATGTATGTATGGCACGCGGAACCGGATAGAAACTATCAAAGACTTCAAAGTGAGCAGTCAACTATTCTCTGACCACCTCCCTCTGGAAGTTACAGTCATTCTCTCCACAACATCGAACGCAGTCACAGCGCCGCTTGGACTTTTTCCAAGTTTGATTTTGCGAAATCGAGAGAGTGAAATCTATAGGACAAAGTTGGACCGAAACATGGCAACAAATTGTGTGGCAGGTTCACACAAGCTCATAATCTACTTTTTTTATTTTCATAGAAAGGCAGTTAAAAGGACAATTTTTATTTTTGACTTATAAAAAAAACAATATCGGACCAAAACGTGTGTCACCCCTGCATAGATTAGGTTTCGTTCTCTATATTGTTTCGTCTATTCACTAAACTTACCTCTACGGGATTTCCAAAGGCAGTGCAAATAAGCGTGTCCTGATCATCAATTTCTCTTCTCTCAATTTCGCAGCGTGGTTTAACTGTTAAATAATGAAATAATAGAGAAATATAATATCGACGTATATCTTTCACAACCTTTATACTTACATTGCACTTCGATTACAGTTTCAGCAATACTGGTGCCATGCTTGTTATAGGCAAGGCAGGTATAAGTGCCATTATCTTTTCTTTCCATTGCCTTATTAATAATTAATGCATTTCCATTGGCAATTGTTTCATTTTTGAAAAACCACTTATAAGAAGGTTCTGTAGATTTGACACATAATTAATGAATACACATAGGTAAAAAATAAAAAAATACCTGGGTTAGCTCGGGATTTACATATTACACGTCCTGGTATGGTATCTTCTTGGACAAACACAATGTTCTCCGAAACCGTAATATTTTCAGGAGCGTCTATTGGAAAATTATTTTGATTTTAAGCAGCTATGGATATGCTAACGCTTGAGCGTTAATATTTCTACTTACATTCAATGCCAAAATAAGTGCGACTCCTGATGCTAGCACCTACTGTATTGCCTGTTGACACGCACGAATAGTTCGCATTATCAGCCTCGATATCAAATTTGGCAAGAGGCCAATTTGGCATATTGAAGTGCTGGAATCATTCAAATAGGCGGAACATGTTAGTTAGACATTAAAAATCAAAATGCTACAGAATTCGATGAAACCATGTCTGCATATTGCGAATAGGAGCTGGCCTGCAGATGGCGAATTTAAATATATAATAGCATACGTTAAGTTTTCCATTTATTATACCCGTTACTGGTCTAGTGAAAGGGTATACTAAACTCGTCTGAAAGTATGTAACAGATAATAGAAAGCGTTTCCGACCCAAAAAGGATACATCTGAGTCGATCTAGCAATGTCCGTCTGTCCATATGGACGCTGAGATCTCGGATACAATAAGAGCTAGAATATTGGCATTGGACATGTAGATTCTTGGCAGAGTGCCACGTCCACTCTAACGCCCACAAACCGCCCAAAACTGTGGCTCCTACAGTTTTGATGCTAGAATAAAAATTTTAACTGAAATGTATTGTTCTCATCAATACCTATCGATTGACTTAAAAAAAAATTTGCCACGCCCACTCTAACGCCCATAACGCTTAAATCTGTATTCCGCCGGTAGGTGGCGCATTTTAATCTCGCTTTGCTGCTTGCATATCTCTATTTAGCTGAGTAACGGGTATCTGATAGTCGAGGTACTCGACTATAGCGTTCTTCCTTGTTTTTTATAATGTGGGCGCCACTAGTTTTTGCATTTTGTGGCCGTGTGAGTGGACGTGGCGTTTGACAGAACCAACATACACCCGGAAAAATTTGGGAATACTTATTAGGTAACCCATGACCTACAAAATTAAAATGGTGAGTTGAAGAAAGCGTTTCCGACCCCATAAAGTATATATATTGTTGATCAGGATCACTAGCCAAGTCAATCTAGCCATCTGTCTGTCCGTCTGACCGCCTGTGATCTCGGAAACTATGAGAGAAAGAGAGTCCAGATTTCAGATTTAGATTCCATAATGAAGCTATGGAGCGCAAGTTTATGCTAATATTCCACGCCCACTCTAACGCAGGAAGCAGGAAGAGTTTGAAGAATAACTCCATCAGGGATGTCACAAAAATCTCTTCCAACCAACTTTACCCCTAAAAGTAAATGTCGGTGTCAAAGAACAAGAGAAAACGCTTTAGTCGATACCCTTGACTATTGGATACCCGTTAAAAAGACTGTCTTAAGCGCGGACAAAGTCAAAGAGGGAAAGCTATGAAGTTAAAATATTTCTTATTCGCTGTATTTAAAAGTATTTGTTTGTGGAAAATATTGGAGAGAAATGATTTTCGCAACTTACAGGTCATCTCAACCACCTGATCCTAATCAACGCGTTAGTAATAAACATTGCAAAGTTAGCAATAAACCGACACTAAACAAGCTCGAAGACAAAATAAGGGCATCTTTTAAGAGATCAAAAACGTGTGTTTTTTTTAACGATTCTCATACTATTGTGTTATTTTCGAAAAATATTGCATAAACCTTTCATGAGCATGTCTTCAGTTTTGACAAAGTTATGGTTTTCTGAGTTTTCTTTTTCTGGAAATACTTTTTTTTCGATTTTATACAGCGAAAAAATATCACCATCTATATGGCCCTATTAACGCACAAAAAATCGATTGGTAAAATTGACCAATAAAACAGTAAAATTAACCCACCAAATAGTTATTCTTACGTACGCAAAACCCTTACGTTTAGAAGAAATAGGTATGTAATTTTAAAAAATGGTAGACAACTTCCAGCTGGTGTGGAAGTATATTAAAATGTTGGAGAATATACGTAATACTAAAAGTCTTAACTTTTCAGGCTTTGGCTTGGGAGTGTAGGTGTACGAGATGCTAGACTGGGAGTCTAGATGTACGAGACGCTAGACCCACTTGGAAATTACAAATAGCACATTGTAGAAATTTTGTTGGGTGTGTCGAAGACTTTACGTTAGGATAACTATTTTTAATTAACTATTTACTACTGCAATAGCAAAAAACATAATTCACGTGAACGTATCTAGGTTTATAGTGGTTTAACAATTAAATAGTAAACAAACCAAAAACAAATACATTGTTTGTGCCTAACCGAAGTATACACTTCTGGGTTACGCTTCGGGACAAGGGGGTAATGAGCACTTGTCGCTAGCACGGGGACGCTTTGATGGCAGGACGATCGGGTCGCGTCAATGGTAACGATGGTTACTACGATGCCGGACCACAGACGGTGCTGTAACTGCGCTGAGGTTGAGCTAACGTAGGTTACCTGCTAGTTGAGATAGTGTAGGATTACGGGCTCTATTCCCGGAGGTGGAACCGCGGAGTTATAAGTTGCGTTGATAACTGATTTGGTCTTAAATTTATACATGCTTATATACTCTTGGAACACGGAAGTTTAGTGTAATTATTAGTGAAATAAGCTTTATTCTAGAGTAGGTATTCTAGAGTGCGTAGCTTGCTCGGCTGACACTGCATACTGTGCTGACTGCATAGGCGGGTACGGCACACTGCCGTGCAGTCGGTGAGACGGTGAGTTAGTGAGACATATAATATGCTGATCAGCAATTCTCATCTGCAGTGGGTGCTACTGAGCGCCTGGTACTGTTCCCAACTTGGCTACTGCTTGATTTGTTGGGTGCTGTTCATGGTTGAGCGCCATGGGTACGAACATTCTCCCCCCATTGAGGGGTACCCTCAATTAAGGCGTGATGTCGGTCAGCCCTTGGCGGAATTGTATAGAAAGCAGCTAACAATTCATTGACCGTGGAGGATCTTTCCTGATTAAAGTCCTTTATATCTTCTTAATGCTGCCTAACTTCCCTTTGCGACAAAAAGTGTCATTGCCGTTGGGACTGAAATTTTGCAGTCGTAGAAATTTATCATTTGGCACGTCTATGGTATGTGGACCTTCTGCAAAAAAGCTTAGATATTTCTTGGTAAAATTTAGATATGTTGTACAAAAGTCAGTAGTAGTAGTTTTTAAAGTGATGAATAGTCGGTGCTATAATAATTGGTTTTTCTCTTGCAGTATGTAATTCAGCCAGCTGCAAAGAACCATTATATGTCGCGGATAATTCTCGTTCGGACGAGTCAGTGTCGCTAGTTCTTTATTGGCTACACATATCATCAGTTCAGTCCTGCAAGATCGCCTACGTCTTCTTATAAAATAGATTGATTTCCGTATCAGATGAGGTTTCTTTATTGAGAAAACCTGTGACTACATAACCAATCGTTGTGCCTTGCGCCAGAGGTTTAATAGGTCCTAGTCTTAAACGAGGATATACACCAGCAGTCCCTCGGGAATATTAAAATCGTTTGCAATCGGTGATGACTATCGGTTTGTAATGACTGTGGGAATAATAAATTCCTCTACGAGAGCCTTAGTATTGATCTTATTGCAGTTGTTATTTTTCCTCCAATTCCAGATATTTCAATCGGTGACGACATATTCTTAGGAGATAGCAGATCTGTCATCCTCCTTTAGATACGATTACAACGCGACATGTTTGCAGTTGACCGGTTGGCCCTTGTAATGATACCTTGGTGGTCGCGAGCAGAACATATCCTGTAGAGTTGTCGTAGCCTGTAATGGTTACTGCGCCGGACATTGGATTGCTAGTCGGTCCTTTATGTAACAAGGAATGATGCCTTAGCTGGTGATCCACAGGTTTCAACCTTATGAGCTGAACACTTGAATTGAGGGGACCATTTCCTGAAAACCCCTACACGCTCTAAGATGATGTGGTACTAGGTGACAAATCTTACAGCTCTCTTCGTTGTGAACTGACTGATGGCGAGGTGTTGCTGTAGGTTGTGCGCTTAACGTCTTCAGCATGCAAGCGCGCCGCTTAATAAACGTCAGTACACTCCTTAACGTTGGAATTTCCATTGGTGCATCCGCTGAATTTTCCAGTGCAGCTATAGCCTGTTGGTCTAGTTTTCTTCTGATAATAAAATACAGGATTGGATCCCAGGATTTTGTGCTGATATCGAGGTTTTTAAGGGTACTCAAAGTCTATCGCACTGTATCATGTAGTGCTCAAAGCTGTTGTGCAGACCCGTTAGTGGGCATATAATCGACGATTTCTCCTATTGCAGCAAATACTAATATTTTTCCGTTTTGGTACCTGGCTTTTAGTCGTTGCAAGGTGTCATCGCATCCGCCTTGTGAGACGGCTATATCTGTCTTGGGTCAACGCGAAGTGAGCCTTGTAGTTAATTAATTTCGCAAATAAGTCGTGAAACGTGGCCAATCTAGATATTCGCCATCAAACTCGGGAACACTGATTGGCGGTAGAGATAGATTCTCATTGGAGCGTCATTTTCTCGAAGCAAGGTCATATTATATTATTCATATAAGGTCTGGAATTGACTAACTTCTTCTTTGGCGGCTGCCTCTGCCCCAGACGTATTATCGAGATCATCATGGGCATGTCTCAATAATTCCCATTGAACCTCCCGGTGTCGTTGTAGGGCTGGGGTGATCGTAGGTGCATTGGACGCCAGAATTAGAGATGATTATAATTCGTTGCGTAACCGACGCGGCCATCCGTCAACTAAAGAGACGATTAGTTGACGGATAACCGCGTCGATCAATGAGTCACTCTTGATTTGCTTGACTAACGGGTCTTTTGGATTGTTTTGAATTCGCCGAGGAGCCTTTTAAGGGCCGCTGATACTTCTCGACCATCTCCGTTAATCCTGTTAGCCTTGAAGCATACTCATCTCCAGTGGATAATGCCGCTTGCTGGACTTCTTCATCTAGGTCGCAAAACTGCTGCCAGAGATCGTTCAACTGGCTTAGGTTACAATAATAGCCGTCTCGGTGGCGTCGTTCGACCGAATCCTTGCCATAATTCATTATGAGCTGTTGGATCTGTACTTGTAGCTCATTTTGGTTGTTTAGTAATCGATTGTGTTAATCGATTCTTGTGTGACTTGTTTCCTTTATGAATGATGTTGACATAATGTGATAAATTAAAACTTTAATTAAACGAAGAATCCTGTGAAAAAAAGCATTTTGCGTTTCCGGAAAAAATATAGGCGTGGCTCAGAGTGAAT